CAAGTTTAAAGAATTTTTACAAGTGGTAATGTTTCAAACCTCCGTAAAATTTAAAATAAAGTTGGTTTGCATAAAAAGAAAAAGGCAGCATTATATTATTAACAGAAAGTTAAAAAAAAACAATATAGAGCAAGATTGAGACAGTTATCATCTGCTCTGCAGTGTTCACCAATGGCCAATCGAGCAGAAATTTGGCCCACTCAAATAGGAATAACCCATTTAAGGTTAAAAAGTGTCTTCATGTCTACATTGGGACATTGAGCAATAATGCACATATAAGGACCCGAAACTGAAGCAGCTAAATTGAATTCATCCATTAGTCACATTATTTTTTACGTGTTTCTTCATTTTTATTACAGAAAACACATGTTCTTCCTCGCTTTTATGATTTTGCTGTATTTCAGATTTGGGACGATGCCCGAAACCAGAAACTTCCTCAAGAATTTTCTCAAAGTTTTCTCCCAGAGGTAGAGAAGCTTTCTTTCATTTTACTTGACACATGAAACAGTTTCTCCACAGGTGGCAGCAGTTTGTGATGACCAACCACAGGTCAGTAGTTGAGGCTGAGGTAAAGGTGTTTGGATGGATGATGAGCAAAAAAACATAAGTGTGCTTTGATTGGTTTCCCTAATCAATTTAACTTGGAGAACAAGTACAGCTTTATTTATTTATTTATTTTTGTCGTTGCAGAGTCAAATAATAAAGTCAATGCTGTGTTTGAAGCCAGAGGACCGACCTGAGGCTGGTAAACTGAAGAAGGACATAGAAGAGTGCACCTATAAATTCACCACACTCAAAAACAAGCCTCATGAGAGTTACTCTGTCTAATTAAATGAAGCAAACACTCAAACAGAAGACAAAAGCATGAGTCATCACAATCAGGAGTCATAGTTGATAATACTTCATATGCTAAGGGGAGTGTCTTTTTAAATTCATGAACTACGCTGAACTAGATTAAAACTGCATCATTATTCATGTTTAACAAATAATCATGACATGGCTGTACAATCATTTTGACAGCTGCTGTTGAAATAACTTGCTCTTTGTTGGTTAAATATGTTAAAGGGAGGTCACATGGCTGCATTTACAGTTCATGACAGAATCATTTCTTCTGGGTGTGTACTCTGTGTCTGAGCATCCTGCCTGTGTTGACACAGCACTGGTCTTAAGACAATAAATCATAAATATACCAACTATGATCTGACTCTGTTCTTTTATTCTTGAATGGCACTCAGTAGAACTCATACCTCCGCTAAGGTCGAACAATAAAACAAGTTTGTCTAGTTTGTTTAGTAGAAATAGAAAAGAAAAAAAAGGCAGCGATACTGACGCGGGGCAGGGAGGAGTCAACAAGCAAGGGAATTGTGAGACTGCCAGTTTGGGAGAGTGTGTATGACAGAGGATTGCAGAGAGAGAGGCACGTCACAGGGACCTTTCACACGTGAGTTGACAAACTAGCTTGCATGTGTCCTTCCTTTTGTGGAAAGGAGCAAATTGTATCAGCCTAGTAAATATGGCAGATTTTTTTTAAAATCAAGAGTCCTTGAGCTGAAAGATGCTACATGTTGCATTGTGAAAGTGTTAAAAATAATCTTGAATCCTTGAACTGAATCTGCACCAAAGTCTTATGGATTTTTCCCAGGCCCAGACCCCGTCCCTGCATCATGTTTGTTTGAAATTGGTTCTGTAGTTTTTGTGTAATTCTGCTTACAATTTTGGAGAAGTAATTATTGTAGTTAAGGTATTTTATTTTGAAGTGTTGAAGGTTTGAAGGTTCATGAAAGAATGATACAACGATGTGTAGTTTATCTCAGTGTGTCGTCTGAAAGGACATTAATAAAAAAGAAAGAAGGCTCTGAAGATCATTGTTTGGAAAATATGAAATAATAAAGAATGAGCAGGAGCTAAGAAAAAG